ATTTTTTAGCACTGGTGACCTTGACCCAACTGACCACTAACTCATCAAAGTTAATGTTTCTATCAATTATAAATAACATCTGTCTATAGAGAATAAGGTCAAATACACCTGTAAAAATGTAAAAATCTATTTTTAACATTGGTGACCTTGACATTGGTAACATTGACCTTGACCCAAATGACCCTTTACTACACCCAAAGAAGGAGGACCTCCCTTGGCATGTTTGTATTAAACTAAGACATCAACTAAAAATAAAGGCTGTATGAGCAAAAATGTTTATATTTATTTTTTAAACCAGTGACCTTGACCTTGACCCTAGAGACCGCTTTACTCCACAAAAAATTAGAGGACCATCAAAGGTATCCGTCTACTAAATATGAAAATTATCATTAAAGAAATTAAGCAATTAGGAGAAATTTAAGATAAATCCAACTCCGAAATAGGTTCACCAGACAATGCCCTATTTTTAAAGTGAAAAAAGGGAAATAACTGAGAAATATGGATGACACAGTTATAGAACTTGGCAAATATCATGTGCTTTGTATTGATAAGTAAGTGTGGAAATTATAAAGCCATTAGTATAAATAGAACTTAAGATATTTCCAACTTGCCGTTTTAGGTTAACCATTATTCATTTTCTAAGTACTGTAAAGGGCAGTAACTTGGTAAATATCAAAGCCAGAGTTGTGTAACTTGCCCAGATCATGTACTTTGTATTGATTAGTAAGTGTGTAAACTTAGAAGCCATTGGTTCAGGTAGAGCTTAAGAAAAATCCAACTTGCCGTTCTAGGTTAACCTCGTACGGACAGACGGACGGACAGACAGACGGACGGACGGTTCAATTACTATATGCCCGGGGGTACAAAAAGTATTGTAAGTTTCAATTGAATAACTTAAGCAATAATTGAGATATTTGACTTTACAAAAAACTTTAACCAAACTTTCTAAGGTTAAAAGGGGCATAATTCTGTAAATATTCTAGGCAGATTTATCCAACTTGACAATCTGATGCACATTGTTACTATAAATAAGTATTATAAGTTTCAATTGAATATCTCAAGCAATAATTGAGATATTTGACTTTACAAAAAACTTTCACGAACGCAGGCACCGACTAGGACGCCGACGCCAGGCGACTACAATAGCTCTCATATTCTTCGAATAGTCGAGCTAAAAACAAACAACCTTGAAAATACAGAGCCACTTTCTTTTCTGCTAAAGTAAAAGAATGCTTCTAGTTTAGTTTTATATAGCATTGTTTTAAAGAGCCTTCAGCTTTTAGTATAGGTTAGTGTTTAATAATATGTATTAACAAAAATAATTGGTCAAGCCTGCCGCAGGCAGGCGACCAATTATTTTTGTTAATGCATATCATTAAATATTAACCTATTTAATGATCAACAATATTTTTTCAACCAAAAACAAGGCATTTCACTAAATCACCGATAGATCCACCCTTTCACTCTACAAGATGTCTTCACCTTGTCAAGTTTTTAACATGTCACATTTAGATAAGCTAAATAAATGGCCCTATCAACAAATAATCAGGCGCATTTTTTACTGAAATGTCACAGAATTTTTACCTTTATCTATGTTTCTATAAAATATCTGGAAAAAAACAGGGAGGAAAAACAATGGAGTTGATGAAATGTGTACATCCTTTATAAATAAATGGAAAATGTGAGAAAATACATTAGATTAATAATTCATACAAATTACTTATTAGCTTTAAGTTATCCACTAACATTTAAAATCCCTATTGATTTGCTCATTTGAAAAACAGTTTTTCTGTGTGTCAATCTAGGTTTTCCATTTACAATGAGTTTTCCAGCCAAAAAATGTAATCATTGTATTCTTAATATCAAGGATTGTTAATGCAGTTCATTCCTATCAACTGAAAGAACATTATGTTTTGGTTACTTTTTCTAGAAAAAAAAGAAGTTTAAAACAGTCAGCAATTTATACATTTTTCTTAGATTTAATAAGGATATAAAAGAAATTACTATGTAATCATTTGTCTCTGCATGCCCCACATGTATTATCTATGTAATAAATTAATTGATTGTATCCTAACATTTAGAAACACCTGACCTCGCCTATTTTTTTTTACGTTGGCATTGTTTTGCTAACCTAGATATTTTACAATTCAGAGTGCAAATCACACCTCTAACTCCTCCCTAATATAATGTATTATTGAAATTTGTTAGACTGGTTAGACGACAGATTAAGTAAATTTTATTTAGTTAGTACACATTAACCAAAGTTAGACTTAGCAGAAATTTGTAAAATACTAAAATGTGATTGGACAAAAAATAATGTTGATCATTAATAGAGGTTAATATGTTATTTTTTTAGATATTTTGTTTCATATAATTGTCAAATCAACAGAATTTAGGTGGAAAATGAAAGTTACCATCAATAAAATGCATAAACAATAAAAAAACTCGATAAATCTAATCTACCAGTCCACTCTCAATAGCATTGTGTTAATTAGTAAAGTTGATGATTTGTTTCCTGATTTTCTATTCTTAGAAACGAACGTCACTGATGTGCTATAAATAGCTCATGTGACACTGTATTGAGGAAGGCATAAAAAGTGATATGATGTACTTTTCAAACATAAAATTACTAAAATACTTAGTTTGAAACAACACAGAATTGTTTTTTCCAACCAAAAATAAAACATGAATGCCACTTTAAATGCTTCATAACATAAATTCAATGTTACCTTAAGTTGAATAGCTTCCCAGTCCCAGTCCTCCTCAGAAATCTGCTGGAATCTTGCATCAAAATCTCTGAAAACATTACGACTAGCTTCTAAACTCTGATCCATTTCTCTCAGGAAACTGTGAACATCAAAGTCACAGGACCTCACCATTCTGTCTGTGATCTTGTGAAGCTAAAATAAATATCACATATGATTATTTCATATCAATCCTAAAGCTAAAGGAACACATGGATCCAGATAATAAAACACATGTAAAAGCTAAACATACATGAGAATATATACGCCGTCAGTTGCACACCTGCATCAAGGATAGCAAAGAAAAAAAACAACTCTTATTTCCACTGTGGTCCCCCGCATATTACATAATATCTTAATGAATTATTCCATTAATTTTTATTTTGAAAATGCCTTTAATGTGAAAAAGTTCAACCAATTACCTGTAATGCACAATTTTCATTATTGAATTTTTTAATTAGAAAATTTTTCATTTAGAATGATAAACTTCACATATTGTCCAGATATAACTTTTCGTGCAATCATAAAACAACATAAAATCTTCAGCTTCCATCTTCTTGATATAAGTAGAATGTTACATCAAACAGTTACCTTCTCTTCATAGAATTTCTGCCTCAATTTGGGATCTTTTGGTGGATTAAATTCCCTCAATTTAAGGTACATACATCGAACCACATAACCCCTCCAAAAACCATGTATAAGTTCTCTTATTATTTACAATCCAGACTTGAATCAAGTTTTATTTGATTTTCGCATCAATAAATATAGGTCTATGAGTTTACAATATAAGAGTGTATACAACACTACTTAAGAAAGTAAGGGTATAGCAGGTGAATGTCTTATATTTCATGTCAGTCTTTATTGATTATCAACATGAACATGTCAGATTGACTTCTCACATAGCAGAAACATAATAATAGCACTTCAAAGGCAGGATAATATAAAGTACCTGACTGTAAATTTGATTGAAGAATCAAATACAATCTTCCAAGTACAATTAATATATATAAAATTGAGCAGACATCCATGTGGAAGACAAAATGAAAGACTCCATACCATAATACAACTAAAGTTGCATATCAAACTAGAAATGTGTCCATAAGACAGATGCCCCCACACGCCACTGTTCTGTCAATCTTATGACTCTTAGTCAAATATTTTTTGGACTACATGTGCCACAAGTTGAAAACTAAAAATCAACAAAGGGCCATAATTCTGTTAAATTTGGTCGCAGCAAAAATTCCTTCCTTTACTACCATCTACACCTGAAGGTTGTTCATCCCTGTAAGTTTAAGCAAAATCTGCCATCCGGTTTAAGAGGAGTTGCGTTCACAAAATTTCTACATAGTATATAGTGAAAAAATCAACAAAGGGCCATAATTCTGTAAAATTTGGTCGCAGCAAAAATTCCTTCCTTTACTGCCATCTACACATTAAGGTTGTTCATCCCTGTAAGTTTAAACAAAATCTGCCATCCGGTTTAAGAGGAGTTGCGTTCACAAAATTTCTACATAGTATCTAGTGAAAAAATCAACAAAGGGCCATAATTCTGTTAAATTTGGTCGCAGCAAAAATTCCTTCCTTTACTGCCATCTACACATTAAGGATGTTCATCCCTGTAAGTTTAAGCAAAATCTGCCATCCGGTTTAAGAGGAGTTGCGTTCACAAAATTTCTACATAGTATCTAGTGAAAAAATCAACAAAGGGTCATAATTCTGTTAAATTTGGTCGCAGCAAAAATTCCTTCCTTTACTGCCATCTACACATTTAGGTTGTTCATCCCTGTAAGTTTAAGCAAAATCTGCTATCTGGTTTAAGAGGAGTTGCGTTCACAAGATTTCGGGACGTACGGACGGACGGACTGACGGACGGACGGACGGACGGAAAAGTGCAACGCTATATGCTCCCACATTGTGGGGGCATAAAAATTATGTATCGGCCGAATATACATAATTTTATGTATGCTCCCCCTACCCACCCACACACACAAAAGCAGACGTCTATGATAGACGATAGATATTTACCAAATATATCAGTAATCAGCAAATTAACATAGGTGCTAAAACACATGGTGTGTGTTCTGCAAGACAGAGGTAAATACAGATGGAATAAATCACAGATTGAAGAATAAACACTAAGGACCACTATAATTATGCTAATGCTACACAAATATTCAGGGAGTATAAAAATGAAGAATGATATGAGCCGTGTCACAACAAAACCAACATAGTGCGTTTGCGACCAGCATGGATCCAGACCAGCCTGCGCATCTGCGCAGTCTGATCAGGATCCATGCTGTTTGCTTACAAACCCTAAAACAAGTAAAGAAACTAATAGCGAACAGCATGGATCCTGATCAGACTGCGCAGATGCGCAGGCTGGTTTGGATCCATGCTTGTCGCAAACCCATTATGTTGGTTTTGTCGTGACACAGCTCATATATTACAATAATTACTTTGTAGCACATTTATTTCTGTGATATCTTGATCCTTCATGTATAACTCTTGTTTGATACTGTTCTCTACGACACATCGGACACGTCTTCTTTCCAGTGAACCTCTCAAAAGCTTGCAAACAGGTCTGTTATAATAACATCATAATATCATAATAATCATATAAATACATGTATAATTGTCTATGAAAGCACTCAAAACGACAATATATGGTGATAAAAACTATTATACAAATTATTAGTCTGTTATTTTTTTCTGAAAATAAAATTTCAACTATTAAGGTAGTTTATAACCAAGATACAGCTTGAATAAACAACAGTCTGTGTGAAAGTCTGTCGGTCCTCATACCTCACCAACTAAAAATCAGGAGGGCTGAGATCAATTTCGATACAGTCAGTCCTCATGTCCGAATAAAATTTCAGCCAGGTTGAAACATTTTTTGGCCATCTAAAATATGCAAAACTTCCAAGATAGATATTTTTTTTCTTCATTTTTGCTTGTATTTAAAGACCCAGATCACCAAAATCACCGCAAGATAAAACCAGTTTTTGCTAAGTAATGTAAAAAAAATCTTGAGACAAAGTGAAGCATTAATCACAACAAAATAACAAGAGAATTGCAGACTCGGTTTGATTGAGTCTGTACACTGAGGGATAATGAATATGTGCAACATCCCTCACGCCCCCTCGCACCGGTTTGAGCGGTACTCAATTCTCAACACTTAAAAGCCACCATCTTGTTATGGATAATTTCCTTACCAAAACATAATTTTTCTCCCATTCAAAATTAAAACTTTGAAAGATGTATCTTTTTCTTGTGAATTATGCTAATGATTTATTTATAATGTTTCTGTATGTTTTTTTTTCATAGTATCTTATAGTTGCGTCTGATAATTCATATTTGCTAAATATTTTAGTTTATAATTATGGCAATAAAATTCCCTCCACCCACCACTATAAAACAAGAGGGCCATGATGGCCCTGAAGTCGCTCACCTGTAAATAGGCCCCCAGGGCGGGGCCAGTTTAAACCCCTGGTCTTTTATTTGAATAAACTTGGTAGACACCCATTAGAAGATATTTCACGCTAAACATCTAAGGACTAGCTCGTTGAGTTTTTAAAAAATTTTTTTTTAAGTTTTAACTATACACATATAGTTAAAAGCAATGACACCCCTAGGGCGGGGCCAGTTTTGACCCCAGGGCTTTTATTTGAACAAACTTTGGAGATACTCACTAGAAGATGTTTCATGCTTGATATCTAAACTCTAGCTATTCTGTTTTTTTTTAAAGAAGATTTTTAAGTTTTTCCTATACACATATAAGGAAAATCAATGTCCCCCGGGGCAGGGCCAATTTTGACCCTAGGGCTTTATTTGAACAAACTTTGAAGACACTAACTGAAAGATGTTTCATGCTAAATATCTTAACTCTAGCTATTTGGGTTTTTTCAAAGAAGATTTTATAAGTTTTTGCTTTACACATAAATAAAATCAATGACCCCCGGGGCGCGGCCAATTTTGACCCAAGGGCTTTTATTTGAAAAGACTTTGTAGACACTCACTAGAAGATGTTTCATGCTTAGTAACAAAACTCTAGCTATTTGGTTTTTTTCAAAGAATTTTTAATTTAAAGTTTTTACTTTACACATATATGGAAAATCAATGACCCCCGGAGCAGGGCAAATTTTGACCCCAGGGCTCTTATTTGAACAAATTTGGTAGACACTCATTAGAACATGGTTCATGCTAAATATCTTAGCTCTAGCTCTTTGGGTTCTTTAAAAGAAGATTTTATAAGTTTTTACTATATGCATATAGGGAAAATCAATGACCCCCTGGGGCGGGGCCAATTTTGACCCCAGGACTTTTATTTGAACAAACTTGATAGAAACCTATTAGAAGATGTTTCATGCTAAATATCTTAGCTCTAGCTTTTTGGGTTCTTTAAAAGAAGATTTTATAAGTTTTTACTATATGCATATAGGAAAAATCAATGACCCCAGGGGCGGGGCCAATTTTAACCCTAGGGCTTTTATTTGAACAAACTTGGTAGACACTCATTAGAACATGTTTCATGCTAAATATCTTAGCTTTAGCTCTTTGGGTTCTTTAAAAGAAGATTTTATAAGTTTTTACTATATGGATATAGAGAAAATCAATGACCCCCGGAGCGGGGCCAATTTTGACCCCAGGGCTTTTATTTGAACAAACTTGATAGACACTCACTAGAAGATGTTTTATGCCAAATATCTAAGCTCTACCTCTTTTGGTTTTTTAAAAGAAGATATTTTAATTTTTTTCTATCGGTTGCTATGGCAACCAGAGTTCTGCATGGAATTAAATTCTTTGAACAATTTTTAAAGGTGACCACCAAAGGAACATTCCTGTGAAGTTTGGATGAAATTGGCTCAGCGTTTTATGAGGAGAGGTCATTTAAAGTAAAAGTTTACGGATGGACGACGGACGGACGGATGGACGGACGCCGGACGAAAAGCGATCACAAAAGCTCACCCTGTCACTTTGTGACAGGTGAGCTAAAAATACTGTTCAGGGTCGGGACCAGGAAAAAATCATCAGGGCTGGAAATAAATCTAAGGATCCCAATCCGTGTGGCTGGAATTTTTTTTTGACTTTTGCATAGACTGGAACAATGAAGTTAACCCTTCCATATCTTGTTTGTTCGTTTCATTTTTACGCCTTTTTCCAACAGTATTTCAGTCATATAGGCGGGTAGTTTCCTAACCATCGTTCCTGGAGAGTTACACCAGTACTAGACTACCTTCCTCCGCGCTAAACTACCAAAGCATCTCCCGGGGATCGAACCCATGCCAGAGAGGTAACTCCTTCCATATCTGATTATAAACTAAACATTTCATGGATCTTCCCCATATACATAAATGGGCTTCAGATGTTTATTTTTAAAGCATATATAAATTGCATTTTAAGTGTTCAGAAAGGAAAATCAATATGTAGTTTTATCAAAATTTCTGTCATTTCAGTACAGAAGACTTTGAAAAAATCAAACATTTTAGAAAAATATGTATAAATATGCCTTTTAAGAAAACATAGGGAATATAACAGTCAATAAAGAAACAAAAACATTACCCTGTGAAAGACATGAGTACAGGACAGAAGCACCTGAAAAAATAAAATACAATTGTTCAAACAGATAGGGTACTCAAGTGCATTATTGTACATGACTTATACACAGCATTAAAAAAGGAATGCTTACACATCGTATGACATAGATATAACATCAATAAACCAAATGACAACAGGAAAATTACTTCTTCAATCAATGTAGTTCAACATTTTTGATCAATTCTCTGTTTAAATTTAAATAGCATGTTAGAATGGAAGTAGACATTAATTTTTCTAGCATTATACATGTACATGTAGTAAAATAATGCATGGTTTATCTTTCAAATGCTTCGTAATTTTCAGTGAGGCCTATCAGCCTCTGTGATATCACTTAGGCTTACTGGCATTTGAGATTACAATCCTTTGATCTAGACTTGAACAATATATTACATGTATTCTATGACAATGCACTCAAAATTCATATCTCTTTTCAAATGAGTATGCTTACAAAAATTTTAAATGATTTGATATGAGATGATAATTAATCCCTGTCTGCTCTGAATTTCAAAGATGCTTGTTTCTATCTTATGACTATAATATCCATATTAAATAAAGAATTCTCAAAACTTCAAAGAACTAATAATATGTTATCTGACAGCACATCCTTGACTGTATGTTTGTTTATTCATAGTGCAGAACCAAACAATACATTACTGTCACTTGTCTATTTGTTACTTGTCACCAACAACAAAAAAAGAAAAAATGTGTTACCTTAGTGCAATGACTGATTGACTCCCATTAAATTTAAAAAAACAACTTATTCCTTTACAGCACTAAGGTGAAAAATTGAATCCTGTAAATTACACATGTATACATTGTACATAAATGCTCAAACAATTCTACAAACCAGTTTTATTTACCTGTTCTTGTGTGCAGAAGTCCTCCTTACATATAACCCATGGCATTTTAGAATCATCTCTCCTGTTAGATTTTTCTTTAACTTTCTTCCAGTCTGTCTCAGTGAGAGGTTGTTCAGGGGCATCTACTAAACCAAACTTCTGAGCTGTTTCATGAAATCAAGTTAGTTTTATAAATGTATGTACGGAAATTAGTCTAATGAATTTGATCCTATGTCGCTCCTCTCTGAGCTTTTAACTAGTTAATTTTTTTCTTATTATTGCTACCAATTACATTAATGTCTTCTTTCTTTGTAATTTTTTTAGATATAGCCTAAAATTATCATGCTTTATCATGCAAAAAGCAAAAATGATTCAGTAAATAGTGTAACTGCTGACACAGTTTCAATATGGATATAAAAAACAACAACATTAAATTGCTACTGAAACATATTTTAAGGACAATTTTTGAATGTATTAAAACATGCTGAAATTTGTCAAATACAAGGGCAAAAATAACAGGCTAAAACACAAACCAAGTGTAAGAGGAGGTGGATTTGGATCTTAAACATATTCCCTTTCTTTCTCTTCTTTCTTTTTTACTGGAGGTTTATCTGCAATTAATTCAAATATTTTTGTTTGTATTTTTTATGACAATTTCAACACAGTTTTGGTTATATTCAGCTGGCTTTCCTTGATATTTAAGAAGTTGAGTAATAACCAAATTCTTCACAATTGACCAACTACTTAACTCCACATGATTTTTCAATCAGCTGTGAGAGACAAATAACATTTAGACTAAATGTCTGAGATATGTTGTCACAGAGAAATTTGACTTCATACAACAATTGAATTGGAGGCTCCCTATCAATACAATTCTCTATTGTTTTAAGCCGGGGGACCAAAAATATTTAAATTATTGAGATAATGGAAAATTATAATAAAATTTGCAAATTTTTATGCTTTGAAGACATCCATGCTTTATTGCAATAGAAGAAACATAAATGAATGATAAAACAAAACACATGTATATATATATATGAGAAGATATATAATTTAAGAGAGATTTCATATAAGCCGCTATGATGGACAGTTTTGTGTAGTGCAAGCTTAAATTTTTTAAACCATATAAAATTATAATCAAATTATGCAAGTAAAGTGCTAAAAATGTTCTTGAAATTTTATTAAATTATGAAACTGAGCATGATAAGAACATACTACTACCAAATCTTCTGTATCTATGGTTGACCTCACCGACTTTTTTGTTTTGCTTTTGCTGCAGGACCAACTCCAATATGTCTTGGACCAATGAGATCATTAAGTCCCAGAGACTTCACCAGGTGGTCTTGAAGAGCTACTGCTGTTAATGCAGTGTTTCCTGTCTATATACAATAAATTAAAAATAAAAATATGAAACAAACGTTAGCTAAAAATTTATGTATGTGACACATAATTAAGTAAAAGAAAGCACATTTTGCTCTAAATTACAAAATTATGTTATTTAAATAACATGGTTTGTCCTAATAGTGTCTTATATAACTTTATAATAGAATTAATATGCCTCAATTTACGCAAAAAATATTTAAAACTACCAGAGATAATCGGATCATAACCCCAATCGTAGTCACCACTAAGGCACCCAAACCATCAGGCCCTATAAAAATCGTCAAAAGTCAACTTGCCCATAATTATAATCCTAGTAACAATCTATCACAGATATTTTTTATCTATTATTTAGAGTTAGTGTACACGGTGTCGTACACTTTTTAAAGGAAAAATAAGAAAATTATTTTATAGTTCAAAATTCTTCTTATATTTGATATTATTTTGAAAACTACATCCTTTGCCCATAAAAACTGATGGCCAAAACGTTTGTATCTTTTCTAGGCTTCTACAAACATTTATTTCCCAGCATATCAGTACACAGAAAACAATTAAAAGCAACAGAAACATAAAACATTTAAAAGCAACAGAAACATACTTTTTTACAACTTGTAGGTAGTGAAGTTAAACACAGACATTAACATTCATTATTGAAAGGATTTTTCATCTATTAAGCTTAAGAGTTTGGTATTGTTTTAAACAAAGAATCAAAGTGAAATGACTTGAGTTTTGTTAATTGGGAGAAGATAATTTATGTGCATTTATTTCATAACTAATAGCAAAATTGCCATAAGAAAATCAAATATTTCTTTTCAAATATATCTTTTATAGTAATATTTACATTAAAATAGAAATTAGCATGGTTTACTTGCTGAATATGATGCTTTTATGTGTGACCTACACAGTCATCTACATTCATTTACATTTTCGCAGTAATTAATCTACATGTGCGCCCTGTGTAAAATACGCATAAAATCGAAAAAAGACACATGGTTTCAAAATATGTGCGTCCAATTTGAGGAATGCTAATCTGTTAGTTTATAAGCCAGAATATCACGGTTAGGGATTTCTTTGTACCGTTTGATTAGTTTAATTTCATCAGTTGAATAAATGATCAATTTCTACAGTTGAATAATTTAATTTCTGACGATTACAGGTGCAAGTCTCTTCCCCATTCGCCGAAAACGTTAAATCCAAAGCAATTGTTTCTTGTGATCGGTAATCGCCCATTATCTGCATTAGCCAATCAGAGCGTTCCTTTTGCATTAGAGCGAAACGATCGACCGCCTACAGTGGTCAAGTGTCAAACAAAATGTTTCATTTAATGGTTGAAGTATATTTTGTTCACACAAAATACATACCAATCCATTCAAACTAGTTGTTTTATATCTCAAGCGGACAATGTAAAAATTAAACAAGATTTTCTGCGTGGTAAATGACCTAATTATATTGGGCTGGTGAGATCGAAAGGTCTGTCGAGTCCTTTAAACTTTGTCAAAATAACCTGATTAAAATGTAAACGTCTTGATGTGGTTTTATTTAAGCTAGCCTACTGGGATCCTTCATATTACCGGACAAAATATGATTTTTTTTCGCTGTAACTTTAATTTAAAACAATTTAAAATAATGGAATTTTGCCTTATTAATTGTGGGCTCTTAATACACGTGAACGTTACTTTATCAAGCACGCTATTTAACAATGTCACCATAAAAATAATTGTCTTCAAAGGAGGGCATTATAAGAGAAAAGAAATCGTGTAGACAACTCAATTTACCGGACATTGTGAATTGAATTTAATCTTTAGATTCTAGCTAGGGAACTACGACTGTTAAATGGCAAGGTTAAGATAACATTTTTGTAGTACATTTTGATTACACAATTGTTTCGTATGCACGACTTAGCGGCATAGGATCTAGTGCTACTGTTAATCACTATGGCATGTAGTTTTAGCTTTAAATGCTACTGCGGCTTGTGATGATGATAATGCTGCTGCTGATTCATGATGATGATGGTGGTGATGATAAAGATGGCGGTTGTGTTTATGATTCTGTCATTAGGTTATTTTTTAACTAGAAATGTGTCATCATGCCACGGATGCCGCCGCATGCAGCCAAAATTTTAGATGGTGCATTAATTTTTTTTTCATTTTAAGTTCAAAGCCCTTAAAAGTTTTCAATGTTAACACAAACCATTTTCATACAATGTTCAAGGCACTGAAATTATTCAGTCTTAACCTTTTAAAAATAGCATATTGCACATTTGTAGCCAAAATAATGGCTAAAAGTATGAGTGCTGAAACTGAAAGTTCAAAATTTATCCAACATTCAGGAAAGATAAGTTTGTCTAAAATCATTGAACCACGACCAAATTCAAACTTAAACTGCTTATTCTTAAGATGTATCTATATTATTTTCAAAGTGAAAGGGACATAACTCTGCCAAAAAATCATCAAACCATAACCAAATTCCAACTCGACCTGCCCATTCCTTTGACATATCCATATGTCAAATTTAAGTTGAATATATTACACTGTTGGGTAGATAATGAACAGAAACTGTAAATTTCATATTATTTTCAAAGTAAAAGGGGCACAACTCTGCCAAAAATCATCGAACCATGACCAAATTCGAACTTGACATGTATTTTCTCATGACATATCCATATGTCAAGTTTGAGTTGAATGTGTTGTACCGTTGGGGAGATAATGAACGACAACAGAAATTTCATATTATTTTCAAAGTAAAAGGGGCATAACTTTGCCAATAATCATCGAACCATGACCAAATTCGAAGTTGACCTGTATTTTCTCATGACATATCCACATGTCAAATTTGAGTTGAATATGTGCAACCGTTCTTAAGATAATGAACGGAAACTGATGATGACGGAATGACAGAATGACGGAAGGATGGAAGGACGGAATGACGCAACAGGGTAACACTATATGCCCCGGCCATTACATGGCGGGGGCATAATAACACTATATGCCCCGGCCATTTCATGGCGGGGGCATAATAAACGGTTTTGTGCACAAAAGAAAAAACAACACATGTTACATATTCGTTCGTATTTTCATTTTTATGCGCATTTTGGGTAAGTGACAAATACGTTTTGGTGAGCATTAAAGAACTGAATGCAACCGAATATAGCACATTTTATGTTCCATATTCGGCTGAAGAATGTGCCATATTCGACCAAATATGTAACACGTGTGACAAATTCAAACCGAATGTGTCACACGTGTGCCTTATTCGGTCTGTGCCATATACGGTCCGACAAACGTCGCCTTGCCTTGTTGATCTTTATTCTCATTTTCTTTCTCTAGATAAGCATGAACAAAGCTGACATTAAAAGAGTGAAAATATAGCGATGAACCTTTTCTTTTAAAAAGTAATTATAAACACTCTTTTTAAATGAAAGCGACGACATCACAAAGGTGTGTGAAAGAGAAGAGTTTCATTTGTTTTCAAATCCCAGAGAAACTTTTGAAATATTTTAAACATAACAATAGTATGACGAATAATATTTTAATTTAATTGTTAATGAATTTTGTGAGTACTTTTCATTTATTCGAAACGGGATATTTCAGTCAATAAAATATTATCTGGAAATTTTGAATAAATATATTATTTTAATAATATTGATAATATAGAGTTTTATTTTTGGAAGATTTACAGCTGTTGTTTAAACATAGAAAAGGAATACATCTCCTGGGGCAATATTTTCTTTTAAATGAATACTCCCTTGGATCAACTGATATATTAGGGACTCGTAATTGTGACATTATAAATTGTATATTTCACAGTAGTTTTATTTCACGCATGCTAGACTGAAGGTGGTATCATTCCACTTCATCAAAGAGTCGACGTTTATAATATTTATTACTTAAGAGGTATAACACTAGAGTAGTAAGTTGATTGTCTAAATTATTAACAACGATTTGAAATAAAAGAATTATGGATTATTGTGACCAAAATAGCTTGTTAGTGCACAATTTAGTTTTCGGAAAGGGAATTCTACAGTAGATGCCCTATATATTTAATAGTCTGTTATTAAAAATAATTAAATGAGAATAAACGTTTATACGTTTGTTTGAGATAGTATGTTTTGGTTAAAGTTTGAACAAAACACTGTAAAAATAGACTTTTAATACGCTGTAGGCCTTAGTCAAGGGGAATTTATTTAACCGATATTTTTTTTCTCTGTTTGTTGATTAAAGTGGATTTCAATTAAATGATATTATACTTATGATTTTACTTTTTGCTGATGAGCTGGTAATTTTGATTTATAAACAAAGAGTTGCACATAAGTTTAAATCTTCTGTATTCATAATTTGAAGAAAACTAGAGTATGAATGTTAATATTTGTAAAACTAAAGTGCTTGCTTTTAGAAATCGTAGTAGGTTGTTTTCAAATGGAGAATATCTGTATAATGGTGAAATAGTCGACATTGTTAGTAACTTTACTTAATAACATTGGTGTTTTTTCATAACACAGGCACGTTTGCTTTGAAATAGGAAAAACTATAATAGCACGAAATATTCTACTTTGAAATTTTAAAAAGCATAAACTTAATCCCAAAATAGTGTGTCAGCTGTTTGGTACGTAACCTAGCTTGTTGTATTATAGGAACAATGACCATGAGAACAACGGTTAGGCCTCTGTGTAATATAATGTAGTTTCGTGTACATTTTATGATTGCATAACTTGTCACGTTAAAGACATAACTAATGCATCTTGATTTGCTAACATTGCAATATGATGTGTGTTTGCGCAATTATGAATTAAGCGTACTTTCTTAACATGTCACTATGACATGATTTAGGAAAGTGACCTGATTATTTATATTTTGTACGGTGATGAATTTTGTACAAGTTTGGAAAAAAATTCTGCTCTGTTCTATTCTGTTCTCCTAAAATAAATCATTTTCATACCTGAAGGAACGAGAAAAAATCAAAACAACTAAACAAACGACAAATCACTAAAACAAACACGCATGCACACACATACACACCCACCAAAACACAAGCATACAAAACATTGAATTACACATAAACATAGAGACAAGTGAACTAGTTTTTTTTAGATATTTTATTGGTTTTATCTTTGGTTTTATTTGTTATAGTGTTAGATATTTTTTGTATCTGTGATTCAGCTTTGTTATTTGACAATACAATTTCTTCTCTGCTGATGCACCCTCTTGAATTTCTTCGGTGGGGTGAGCCAGGGTGCTTCCATGCTCTGTTTTTTTTGGAATCTGATCGAAGTGATGGACCAATGTTTCACCCTGAGTTATAATCCGGTAGATAAAATCAGATTCATCCTAGTAGCGAAACAAAAGATATCTTGTCAAGCCTGGTCAGTTTCTGGTGGTCTGTCAATTGTCTTGGTCACGTCTAGCGGAAACCTTTGACATGCCATAGACATCAGTCAGAGTTGCCTGAACTGAACCAAAGCTTATACCCACTTCCCTAGGAATGCTTCGCAGGTCTCGCCTTCTGTCGCCCATTACCAGATCGTGCACAACCTCGGCAGTTTCATCGTTGGTGGACTCTTTTGGCCGCCCTGGCCGCTCATCATCTGCAATGCTCTCCCTGCCCCTCTTAAATTTAGCATCCTATTTTTTTTCACAGTGATATAGGAAGGGGACCCGCTTCCCAAGAGTATCCATGAAGTCTTCGTGGAATTTATTTTTGTGGACAGAGGTACTTAATGACGGCTCTTATTTCAACTTTCTCCATTTGGTCTAAATGACACATCGCTCTACTGATCAAAATGTGTTTTATGTTACTTAATCTGTGTAAAATCGCGTGTAACTCGGTCAGTTATCTTCAATAAGATATGAGTATCGACGTAAGTTTCAACGTAATGGCTAGTAGTTTATCGGGCCGAGATCTTTTTGATCATACTTCGTAATTTACTACATTGATATTTATATTGTTTTGCAGCTCTTCAAAAAAAACTATCTTAATTTATTGTATAAAAAGTTCATATCGATTGATAAGAGAAATAAATGCAAGTTTGACCATTGATTTCGTACAAAGTGCATTTCCAAAATAGTTTGTAAATGTTTGCATATTTCTGAAGCAAAAGCACAAAGTTGAATTGCATATATTGTATTTGAATATCATAGTATGTGTTGCAGTGTTGCAATAGACAAACTTGCACTGAAAATTTCTTAATGTTACATGTATAGTACTTTGGAGTAGTATAGTATTTATTTCATTCCAATTCAATTCTGTACCTATTTGTTGTGCCCATCTCTATATGTATTTTTACCTTTTCGTTATTTTCCATTTGCATTTTATATAAAAATCAATTTATCTTAGTGCAATTGAATTTGGGTCTTGCATATTGATCAATGCTATGATTACATATATGATACGTATATATAAAGTGATAGTCATGTATGTTGAAATTTGTATGACATTTAACTAAGTCATATATATAGAGTAGTTCTTCTATGTAGATATGAATTTACAATATATTTCGCTGATTTTGGCAGATAATATTTTGTTGTCAAATGAAAGTAAATGTATTCATCTTTAACAGTTATATCCCCTAGTATACTGTTGCGTATTTAATTATAATAGTTACACTTAAGTATCTTTCATCTTCAATCACGTTCGATGAGCAAAATCTACAAAGTCTTCCTTCTATTAGAACGACCTGTTTCGATTCTTAATTTTCCGAATCTTAAATGACTGAATAGCGAATGGTCATATGTTTCCTTAGGTCTATTCGCTGACTGAAAGGTTGTTCATAATCTGTTTTACGTCAT